GAGGTGGCACTTGCCATTCCCGACTGTGGGGCTTCCATATTGCTGATACCACCTACCTTTGCACGGACGCAGTGGGCACACCTGTGCACACTCACGCCCGTGCACAGACTCTCACCTGGCCACTCACCCGCGCTCACATTTCTAACAATAAATCCAGAAAACAAATACCATGTACATTTGCCTTGTCAATGATTGTGCCCGGGTTTGGGGAAGAAGTGGGCTTGCCTTAGATGACAATAATGGCAGCCTGTCTGGAGCCTGCCCCCATTACTGTTTCTCTGCATCTGCGGTAGGTTGTTTGTGAGCATAGTTCAAGTATAATTAGTTCCCATCGAAGTTACCTCACCTTCAGTGGTGAGAATTATTGATGGAGCTGAACTAGATGAGCGTAACCTGTACAGACATAACTTTCTTTCCGAGTTACCAAGTGCACATGGGCTAGCTTGGGGTGGTTGGTTGATGTTGCTTATTATTATTTTGTATCTTCATTTTTGTATATATTTGTGTATATATCGGTAAATAGTAAGAGGTAGGATTCTAGCCCCTTAAGAATTTCTCAAAAATTGTTATTTTACTATTTTTTTAATTTATTTTTTTAGTGGAATGGCTCTTACCAATGCCCCTTTTTTAAGTGAATTTTCAATTTCTTTAAAGATGCTGTGCTTTCAAAATAAAATTCTTCCAGGGTATGCATAGAACCCTGACTCCTATCTTTAAAACCTGGGGTTCAATTTGTCCTTTTCCAGGGAAGTTCTGGGTACATCTAGTTGGAAGGATTTAAAAAAATCAAAAGCATTCAATTACATGATTTCGAGAACCCATTCCATTTTGCAGTTCTAACTTATTTTAGAGATCCACCAATAACCCTTCCCCTCTTTCTGTAGAGAGGAAAACACCTCAAAGACACAGCCCAGATGTATCGGGCAGGTTCTCCAGAGAAACAGAACCAATAGGGTGTGTGTATATGTGTGCATGTGCGTGCACACATGTGTGTCACTCACCATAGGGAATTGGCTCGCATCGTTATGAAGATTTGGCAAGTGCCAAGCTCCGCAGCCAGTGAGCTACAGACCCAGGAAACCAGTGAGGTGGTTCCAGTCCAAAGGCTGGCAGGCTCGAGACCCAGGAAGAGCCAGAGTTTAAGTTCAAGTCTGAAGGCAGGAAAAACCAATGTCTCCACTCCAGGCAGGAGGAAGTAAGGCCCCCTTATTTCCGGGAGAGCTCAGCCTTCAGCTGATCAGGGGAGGCACATCCACCTGAGGGTTTATTCCGTCTCTCAGTGTCAATGTGAAATTCATCCAGGAACACAGCAGCATTCAGAATACTGTCTGACTTTACATGACCCCCTCAAGTTGACACATACAATTAACCTTCATGCCACACTTTTCTGAGTCAGAGATGAAAACTCTGGTCTTCCTCTTTTTGCCTTAGAGGTAAGTCAGACTTCTCCCAACAGCCAAAAGCTATTGGCTAGATTGGGCCCGAATTACATCATTTCATACAGTCTTTATCTCTGAAGGTGTTAGTATTTTTTAGGGGGTGTGTGTGGGATGCTTTTCAGCACCTTCGTCTATACTCTTTTCTTTTTTGTTAACTTTTTCTGGCAGAGTAAATTGTGCTTTCTAGCTCATTGCTTTTCATTCTGCTCACATTTAAATATTGCCCAGCCAGCTGTTGAGCGGGGTGTGTGTGTGACCTCATAAAGAAACAAAATAGTAGAGTGCACCACTGTTGCCATTTTTTTTTTTTTTTTTTTTTTTTTGGTGGCACATTTTTCCTCTCGATCCATGTGGTGATATCCAGAACCGGTCAACACTCCGTGTCATCAGGTGCTGAGTCTCTGGTGAAAATGAGAGAAACATCAATGATGAGAGAGAATCATCAGCTGCTTCCTGCACGCCCCCCACTGGGGATCCAGCCCGCATCATCTGGGGCATATACCCCGACCAGGAATTGAACTGTGACCTCCCGATTCATAGGTTGACGCTCAACTACTGAGCTACACTGGCCGGGCTGGTCTTCCTCTCTTTTAATATGCCACCTTTCCCAGAGGCGATGCAGGTCTTAAAATCCTCTGTCACCAATGGCCAGTGCTTCCAGAGAAAGCGAGGAGGCAGACTTAGCACCAGGTAGGAGGCCCCTCTGTCCTTGTACGGAGCTTGGAAGAGTGTATTGACGCATAACGGAAAAGCCCACAGTTAATGCAGGCTCAGGCATGGCTGGATCCAGGCGCTCATTCATACCCGAGGACACCATTTCCCCCCAGCTGTTGGCTCTGCTTTCCTCCAGATTAACTTCATTGCGGGGACAGGTTCAAGCCCAGAGAGAGCTTACCTTCCCCCTCAATTGCCAACCAGTAGCTGTGGTTAAGGGGCTGCGATAGACGGAGAGCATTTGGACTGAGCATCCCTGGAGCTGGGTGTGGGATCCACTCCACTTGAGCTGTATGGCTTTGGGAGTTGGGGTGGCACCTCCTCAATAACGCAGGGTGTGCTGGTAGGAGAAAAAGCACAAGTAGATGCTGTGCAGGAAACGCAGCCGAGGCCTGCTGTTTAGCCTTTAGGGTCCGTTGACGAGTTTTCTACTTGTTAGGGGAGACTGGACTGCCGTTGGCTCACGGCACAAAGTGAGTTTGTGTATGCATTTGAACTTGTTTATACGACACCTACTCCCCTCCCTCCCCAAACTTGAAGTGGCCTACAGGAGTTCATGGTGTACAAAAGGTTTAGAAATGAGTAAGTAGGGAAACTAGAATAAAGAGAAAAGCAGGGAAGTCCCCTAAGATAAGACGGGAATAAGGTGACGTTCACAAATCCCTAAGCTGGCGGGCGGGCAGCTGCTGCGGGGCTGGTGAAAAGGAGCCGCTCATTGGGCTCTGAGGTTGCTGGGTATGAAGAGCATCTAGACCTTGTATGAAGGGGTGTGTGTGTGTGTGTGTGTGTGTGTGTGAGAGAGAGAGAGAGAGAGAGAGAGAGAGACAGGCCCTGCGGAGGCATGGGAAGATGATAAAGATGATGCCCGTTGATGGTAACCCTATTAGATGCATGTCTTTCCCAAACTCCTGGGCACCTGCCCCGCGGACCTTGCCTCTTTGCTCTCAGCATTGTGTTAGGAAACAAAGCAAGCAGACAAGGAGGGAGACCTCTCTGTTGCTGGGTTCCTTCCAGGAACAATGGACGGGCCACATCGTTCACCTTTGGTGGGAGGCGGGCAGGTGAGTCACTGCTGTGACAGGGCGGAATGGGATCCCGGGCTGTGGAGCGGGGCGGTCCTGTGAATGGACTCATGCTTGCCTAGTGACTCACATTCCTGTTTACCAATGAGCCACGGGAGTGCTGTGGGGACCGGGGCCTCCGGTCGGGGTGGGCAGCACTCCGGGCTCCTGCCACAGGCGGCTTTCACAGTTGAGATGCAGGGACAGCTGCTGCCAGTGGAAGGCCCTGGAGAGACACCGGTTTGTAGGTGAAGTGGCCCCGTCTCGTTTGGGGAGTTCACGTGGCCTTTGGATGATTTTGTTCCAACTGGCTCACCCCCATCTCTTTCCCCCATGGGAGCCCCGGGAAATATGGTAGCCAAGGAAATTATTCTAGAGCCGTGGCTGCTGTTGTACAGATTTGTCCTTCATGTCCATCGATTTTCCATCTCCCGGTCTTTGGTCCCCGCTATGCTTTTTAGTGACTATCAGAGCCTAAGATATTGGGTCTTGCGCTCAGTGTCACCCTCTTCACTAAATTCTGTGACTCGGGTGAAGAGGGTGAGCCATCTGTGCATGGGGTCTTCCATCGTATAAAACGTCTAACACCTGGAACAGAGGCAGGCGGAAAGGATATAGACATTTTCTTTCCGAAAAGCCAATTGGAATGATGCTGCTTTGTTGGGAAAGAGCTCTTCTCGGGCCTCAGATCGCCCTTCACGCCCCTAAGTTCTCCGCCATCCATAGAGCAGCCACCACCCTCGGCACAGGCACAGCCTGTAAGTTGACTGAGGCCTGGTCCGTACTCCCCCTCTGCCATTGACTAGCTGTGTGACCTTGGGCATGCTCCTTAACGTCTCTGAGTCCGTTTCCTCCTCTGTGAAGGGAGGGTGACAGGACCTACCTGAAGGGTAGTTGCGAGGTGTAGCGGAGGGACACGCACACCCATGGTGGAGCCGCAGGCGAGTGACAGGCAGGGGACCGAGGCAGCTCGCGCCACGGGGCTCCGGCTGGGTAGGGATTCGGGGCAGCACATCCTCTCGGATCACCTGAAGTGGGGGCTGCCAGGCCTTCGAGGGGGCTGGAGAGGTCTGTGCCATGGCCTCTCTCTCAAAACGATTGCCGTCTGGCAGAGGGAAAGGACGTTAAGACGTCCCCAATAGCTGTAGGGTGGAGCCCTACGTAGCTGCATTTTTGTAGGGTAGGAATACTGCATGGCTTATACCAATGGTCGGCAAACTCATTAGTCAGCGGAGCCAAAGATCAACAGTACCATCGAAATTTCTTTGGAGAGCCACATTTTTTAAATTTAAACATCTTCTAACGCCACTTCTTCAAAATAGACTCGCCCGGGCAGTGGTATTTTGTGGAAGAGCCACACTCCATGGGCCAAAGAGCTGCATGTGGCTCGCGAGCCGCAGTTTGCCGACCACTGGTTTATACTAATAGAAGATTCAGTAAGGTAAGTTGAGAGAGAGAGAGAGGGAGAGAGAGAGAGAGGAGACAGGTGAGCCAAGTGGCCCCCTGGAGGCCCAGAGGCAAGCGTGGCCGCGTACCTTGGGGTGACGAAGGGCAGAGGTGGGGAGCGGGAAGGGATGGCACAGAGTCTGCATGGAGGAGGCTGTGTGACGATGCCACCAGAGGGGGTCCCCAGGCTGGACGGCAGGGAGGTGGACAAGCTGTGGGTTCGCGTGGAGCCCTGGAGGAGCGGGGTCAGGGTAGAAAGCCAGGCCGGGGCCGCCAACGCCTGGGGACCGCGCCCCCGCCCGCCGAGCCTCACTCTGTTCCCCTTTCTTCCCGGCCGCAGTGTCCCCTCCCTTGCTGCACTCAGGGCCACGACTGTCAGCACCTCTACCCCCCCTCAGACTTCACTGTCAGCACTCAAGTCTTCAGGGACATGAGGAGGAGCCACTCCTTACAAAAGGTTGGGGAGCCCTGGTGCTTGGAGGTAGGTCACGGAGCCCCATGACGGTATGAGATGAGCCAGCCCCGCACGCACCCGCCCATCCAAAGGTCACCTGCAGCCAGGGCAGGGCCCGTCCGCCACGGCCCGGCTTCCCGCCGAGTCCCTGGCGTGTCGGGTGCCATGATGTCTGGGTGAACTGACCACTGATGGGTGTATCAGAGCCATAAAGATGCCCGTTTACCAGAAGAGGGCGGCGGGCGGGGCTCCCGGGGATCCGAGGTGCCTGGCTCCTGGGGGTGGCCGGCGGTCCAATGTCCTGCGTAGCCTCTGTGACAGCGAACAGCACCTCATGCCATTGAACTTGACCCCCAGGAAATCATTCCCTGGGCCCTTTCCCAGCTCCCAGTGGAGGAGGAGCTATCACCCCCACGTTGCTCTGTTATCAGTCACTTAGCATGCATAGCTTTGCCTTTGGAATCAGGCTCCCCCGCCCCCCCCCCCCCCCCCCCCCCCACGCAGGTGGGCACGGCTTTCTTTGCAGGCCTGGCTCTCCAAGGACAGGGAGCATCCTCAATTCCTTTTAAATAATTCAATATGTCGTCAGTACCCCAAGTGCTCCGCCATGACAGGCCTCTTTGGATTAGTGGTCCCGAGAAATAAGAACATCGAGAACACGCTTTCATCTTCAGAAAAGCACAAGTCAATGCAGATGAACATTGTAAAGTAACTTTTAGACTTAAACGGCAAATGATTTCGTACTAATGCTAGTTAAAAAACAAAAAAAAGATAAGTGAATATCCTAGAGCCAATTCATAAAGCCCTCTACTTTTAAAAAGCATTTATTGTATACCTACTACGTGCTGAGTGCTGTGCTACATGTTAGGGCTCAGAGGACAGAGACAGGCCTAGAGCATATTAACACGTGTCCACGTGACTTGCCTTGGAGAGAGAAGAGGTGGACTAAGTCATCTTAAGAAGCTTGTTCTAGTGTAAGAAGTAGTACCTAGCCCTTTAAGAGAACCAGAGATGTGGAGGAAACCATACAGAAGAAAGGCAGACATCGACTTTTTTTTTTTAACCTGTTTGTAATCACTTCATTATTTGGATGCAATTCTTTTCTCAACATTCATGGGTCTAAAATTTAAAAGTCTTTACTCAGGTCTGTGTTTTCCTCTCACGTGACGTAGCACCCAGGATTCGAAACACTCTCATGTGCCTTAGCTCTGGTTGGTCATGCCATGGATTGGCGTCTTGTGGAAAGCTTGCTATCTGGCCATTCCCCTTCCGGCAGGTGTGCAGGAGACAGAGGAATGTTCTGGACTGGGCTTGGATTACCTGGATCCCCGTGCGTGTGTAAGCCCTGTCCTTTCGCTGGCCTGGCTCTGACAGAGCAGGGGGTCCCCCTTCTGTACAGCAGCTGTGGCCAGGTGCAAGGTTTTCCTCAGCAGCCCCTCCCTGGGTCATCTATAATAATCTATAATAATAAAAGCATAATATGGAAATCAACCAAACAGCCTGAACAGCGGAACGACAGTCCAGATGACCTTCTGGATGAAGCCGGGGCTGCGAAGGCCTACTGTTGCATGAATTTCGTGCACCGGGCCTCTAGTCTTTTAGTAAGTGACTCTGGATGGAAAGGCCTTAGCTGTTCTTCCACCAGGGCCTGCGAGCACTAACGCATTAACCTTTGGTCGGAGTTTTGAGACCCATAAAGGAGAACCAGACACCCATGCAGAATCTGAGGAAAACGAAAGAGGTTTCTGCCTGACACCCCGAGACCTGCAGATTAGATCCACAGTGCCAATGTGCCCCGTTTCTGGGCTGGGGTCTAAATTCCCAACCGGGACTGGGTCAGGCACGGCGACACTACTCACAGGCTGTGTGAACTTGGCAAGGTTGCCCTACTGCTCTCCCTCAGTTTCCCCATCAGCGAAGGGGGATCCCACAGGGCTGTTCTGAGAATCAAATGAGGAAGCCTGTAAAGGGGGGAGCTTGGTCAGAGGAGCTGGTGTGCCTGGTCTGGCACAAGCACCCGGCAGGATTCTTAGGGACTCACACACTGAGCGTGTGGCTGTGTGATGGGCGGCCACTGCTGGGGGGCAGCTTCGCATGCAGGCGTTCCCAGAAATGTGTAGGCCCCTTTGGAAGTGTTTCCTCCTGTGAGAATTGGGGTGATGTATGGAAACTCCATCCATAGCACGGGTGTGTTAGGGGAGGACCTGGGTAGCGTCATGGAAACCGCATGCAGATGGAGGCAGGACTGGGTGTGACCCCAATATCCTCCCCGCCGTTGGCAAGGTGCTTCACCCTCCAGGATGCAATCCCTGTGTTTGTAGAAAGGGATGACAGTGGAGTACCTGCCCTGAGCCATGGAAATCTGACCAGAGTGACGTTCACCACACATTTCCCATGGTCCGGGCATTTGCCTACCTTAAGGCTTCACAGCCTGAAGGCAGCACTAAGAGGGAGGTGCAGTGACTCTTCCTTTTTGCAGAAGAACCACAGGGAGGTTAAGCAGCTTGCTTAAGGTCACACAGCGAAGGGGCAGAGCTATGACAGCCCCTGGCAGGAGCCCGTGGTTGGAGCCTTCCCCACCAGCCATCTGCACCTGCTAAAGGAGAAGGTGCTGGGTGTTCAGTACCCCCAGCCTCCCCAGGAGCTGGACAGAACTTCTTCAGGACAATTAAGTCCCATTTTCTGCTCTACAAGTACCATACGGTACCTTCCACCCCATCCATATTGAATGATCGCCTTCCCTCCTCTTTCTTTCCTGCAGTTCAGCTGGGTTCTCCCTCTATAGTTCTCTCCGCCAGGGAACGGAGGTTGATTGACCAGTTGAGTAAATATGACTAAGAAAGTCGATACCCACCTGGGCAGCATGACTCACGTCTTTCTAGTTAGCTCTTCCCGTACCCGTTCACGCCAGCCGCACACAGTCATTACATTGGGGCTATTAACCAGTTTAATGGTGACAATAATAGGGTGTGACCCATGGCATACATGCGTTCAGATAAAAAGAAAGTGTTTTTCCTGTAATTGCTTAGTCAATACCATTTTCACGGAAATGCTTGCAAACAATCTTTTAAAAAAAAGTTCTTTGTCCCCGTCCTTCCCTTATTCCTTGCTTCCTTCCTCTTCGGGCCTTCGACATGTTTTTCCGAATTCATGGAGATTAGCAAGATGGTGCACTGAGTCCCTTCTGAGGTTTAGGTTGACCCACCTTGGTGCTGGTGTTGAGGCTCTTTGCAACCCATGTGTAGGGATACTCGAGTGTGTGTGTGTGTGTGTGTGTGTGTGTGTGTGTGTGTGTGTGTATGTGTGTACACATGCGCACCTGTGTGTTCAAGAGAGGGGAACATTACTGTTGGTACTGGCTTATTGACCTCTCAACTCCTACATTTAAAGAGAAAAGAGACTTCTGCTAACTTCGCAAAGCTAGTCACACAGGGAGTTAACCGTCGTAGTGGGAGGAAATGAAACTTTCCTTGGGTTTATGTTTGACCACATCCTATAAATCTGTGGCTTGTTATATGTCTGATTTCTGAAAAGTGCGGCATCACGGCCGAGGTGGTGCTTTTGCTTGTTAGTCCTTGGCACAAATATAGATGCCGCTTTGCTTCATCTCCTCGGCACCCTACTTTCCAGTACACATTGTGTATGGAAACTCTGGGCTTTCACAGCACCATACAGAGACCGGAAGTGCCAGCTTTATAAATCTCCGCATGAGATTTGGTCTGGCAAGCATTCCGGTAGGCTGAAATGTTTCATTTGCCCTCCGCTTCCCGTGTCCACCGCGCAGAGGGCTCTATCATGTGGGGGCATGACTGCGTGTCTGTGACCCACCAGGATGCGCCTTCCCTGAGGCGTCCTGGCTACCTAGAGAAGCAGGATGAGAAAACGGCACAGATACTTCCGGAAGGCAGCATTCCCATTTTGACAGACTTCCTGTCTTTTCAAAGACGTGCTTTAAACATCATAGGTGGGCTCACAGTCTCTTCACATCGGTTTCTGCTTACATTACATCACTAGTCATAGGTACATTCTCCTAGTCCTGCCTCCAAAGACTATTTGTAAAAACCTCTAAGATTTGACCATTCTAGAGCGGGGCGGCCCTCTCTCTGCTTGGTCATCGCCTGGGAGCAAACAGACCACTCACTTCTCCAGTCTCACTGTGAGGGTGCATCTCCCTCGTGGGAGAGGGTGCGAGTTGAAAACGACAAAGACAGAATGACCCGGGTGTTGCAGAATGCCTGCGTGATCTACATGCCGCGGCTTAGCCCTGGACCATCGGTGCCAGCAACGAATCCCTCCCCTACGGTCACTCTTGGAGTGGGATGGCCATGGGACCACACATCTATTTTATTTTTCCTCTCACTCTCTCTTCGCACAGCTTCTTTGTTGGAGTCTTACATGAGTGCCCTAGTTTCCTCTGCCAATCCACCGCAGAACCATGAGTGGACATCTCGGTGCCCAACTTGGAATTTCCAGCACCTTGGTGAAGTCCCATTCATTCCCAGGGCATTGTGACCAGGCTGTAGCTCCCACTGCCGATCGGCACCCCCTACGTGATGGACACAGCTTGTCCTGCGCTCTGCACTGGGGAAACCGTCCCAGAGAGGGAGAGGGTCATGTCACTCTGGGGCCTGTTACCCCTGTTGTGTACCATTCATTGGACTGAACTCTGTGTCCGCTCTTCTTCCCACTTCTTCCACTTTCCTTCCACCCCAAGAGGCTGGTGCAGGAGGTAGGAAGCGCAGACTGAGTGCGTGGGGATCCGCTGAGGAGCTCCATCCATGGGGTGGGTGGCGTGTCCTTTCACCCTGGGTCCGGGCCTCTTGGGCCGCCTGACATCCACCCAGACGCCATGGGCCGTCTCACAGCCCTTATCTCTGTGACCACCTCCCTTTTCTCCAATCTTTGTGAGTCACATGTTTTCTTTGCGTCCGCTGTGACAAGGGTCATTCACAGAGAAGACTTGGGCCTTGGACGCGTGACATGCTGTCCTCTGTGCAATTTGTTGTTTTGGTTGCTCCCCTTTGGTC